AATATATTTTAAGATTTCCAATATTTTTCTACCCATTTATTGGTTTTTGATGGTTGTATAGTTCTTATATATTTCATTATGATATAATAATTAGGAAGTAGTATGTGTGTTGCTGTCTGAATTCACAAAAGAAAAAAGTTCATTTAGACTACTAGTTCTCAAACATGGGCAATTTTGTACCCCAGGGGACACCTGGCAATTTTGGAGACATTTTTAGCTGTCATAACTAAGGGTTCTATTTGCACCAAGTGAGAGGAGGCCAGAGATACTGCTATACATCTTACAATATACTAGCCAGTTCCCCATAACAAAGAATTATCTGGTCAAAAATCTCAATAGTAATGAGTAATGAGGCTGAGAAACCTTAATTTTGAGTTATAAACTCAAAAACACTACATTTGCTTAAAATGCTGTTCTCTTTGCAAGCAATTTTACACAATCCTCCACTCCACAGAATTGCTGTCGTAATTCTTAAATGATCACATACTGATTAGTCAAGCAAGTATGTCTACTGAATCACTTGAAGTAATTAACTGAAGTGACTCTTAAAAAAAAGGAAAGAATGGGGAAAAAAGGGAAAGAAAGATGAAAGAAGTAGGGAGAGAGAAGGGAAAAGAGAAAAAAGAGAAGGAGAGAGAAGAGAAGAGAGGAAAGAAGAGAAGAGAGGAGAAGTGAAAGATGGCTATGCTGTGGTTATGTCCCCAAGTCTGCCTTACTAAAAATGGTAAAATATATTTCTTTAACATATAGGTCTTGACTGCATGAGAAACGCTGAGACCAATGGGGGACGGGGGAAATGAGAAAAAGGAATGATTTAAAAATATTATAATATAGGTCAGAGTATGACCCATTACTGTGCCACTACATTGCCACATCCAAAAATCATGATTTCTTTTCAGTTCTGTTGTAAGCTTATTCAACTTCCATGTTCTCCTGCTAGGAAATGAATGTTTAATTCATATTTTGAAAATGGAAGAAAGAGATTAATAGTATTTAAGAACTACTGTCCAATTAAGGATCATTAAATAGCTCTGAAAAAATAAATCTCATAATTCCTCTCAATTAGAAAAAAATCAATAAATGAACTGGTTTTAAGAAAATATGTGTGGCTGGGTGCGGTGGCTCACGTCTGTAATCCTAGCACTCTGGGAGGCTGAGGCAGGCAGATTGTTTGAGCTCAGGAGTTCGAGACCAGCCTGAGCAAGAGCGAGACCCCGTCTCTACTAAAAATAGAAAGAAATTAATCGGACAACTAGTGCATGCCTGTAGTCCCAGCTACTTGGGAGGCTGAGGCAGGAAGATCGCTTGAGCCCAGGAGTTTGAGGTTGCTGTGAGCTAGGCTAACGCCACGGCACTCTAGCCCGGGCAACACAGTGAGACTCTGTCTCAAAAAAAAAAAGAAAAAGTGTGTGTGTGTGTGTGTGTGTGTGTGTGTGTGTGTGTGTGTGTGTGTGTGTGTGTGTGTGAAAGGAGAGAAATATAAACTCATAAACAATGATCTCCAAAGATATATATATTTTTTTGTTTTTTTTTTTAAGAAAGGATATCTTACCATGTTGCCCAGGCTGGAGTGCACTGGTAAGGGAAAAATACAGGTTCCCCCTCACATAACAGAAACACTGTGCTAGCCTGGAGTACTCAGCAAAATTGTTACAAAGTAGACTAAACAGGTACCAAAATAACTACTAGGCCTAGGAAAAGTATGCAGCACTTTCTTGGGTGCCTCAGCACTTTCTAGCCCTGAAACGGCCAGCTCGAACTGGCCCTTACTGCTTTAGAGATGCTTTGGTTGTCCTGTAGTGTCCTTTAGCTAACTGTAGTACTAAAATCCCCACCTAGTGGGCAACTGTAATATCATTAACATAACATGGGTTACATGACACCGTATGATGGTGGCACTGTGCCTGTGTGATATGTTTCCCTGTGGACAAGCAAAGATACAATGTAAAAACTTTGCATTACTCATTGGGAAGAGATTTAAGGCCAGGACACAGGGTGGGCAGATGTGGATTTTGCAGGCAAGAAAGCTCCTGTGCCACCCAGGAGTAAGTCCCCTAGTAAGTAACCTCTAATAAACACATCTAACTCATCAAGCTGGTCTTGTTTGAGTCATTCTTTGGTCTCTCAGTTTGGGGGTGGGGAGGATGGTTTTTTCTATTCTGTCTCAGGATTTTCATTAAAAAAGTGGCTGTTCAAAGGTGCAATCATAGTGCTCTACAGCCTTGAACTTCTGGGCTCAAGTGACCCAAGATACGTTTTAATATTTTGATTTGTGAGCCATGTGAATGTATTTCCCATTCAAAAGCATAAGTTTTGTTGACATTTTTGTCTGCTAATGTTTCTTCTCCCCTTTTTTCTATACTTATGCCTTTTTTCTTTTTCAAATTCCTTTGCTATCGTTAGTGAGGCTTCAGGAGGGAATTAAGATAAGCATGTGTTCAATCTATTGTGTTTAACTGAAAATCTCTTTACATTCTAAAAAATTAGAGCTTTACAATTACTAATTTAGGCATTAGATATGCAACTTCAATGAAGATTTCCCTTGTAGTAAAACTCCACAAAGGGTAAATTCAATTATATTTAAAATACTGTACATTCATTCCTTTTATTAATAGTAAACCAATTCTGACATTTTCAGACATTGTCTATAAACTTTTTTTCAATCTATGTGAATAATAAAGTTTTCTGAATGTAAGTGATTAAAACCAATTTGAATTCATTAGCAAGTTCATTAAAATAAGGTAAAAGGTAAAAAACGTCTATTTCCAGGCATCTGAGACATACTTTCAAGAGATCCTTAGAGAACAAAAGGAATGGTGTGTGGTAACCCCTTAGTTTACCTTGTTCATTTCCACTATAGTCTCACAAATCAAAGCCTAAGTACAAACCAGCTTCAGAATGGCATTGATACAGAGGAAGTTAATTTTACTTTCTTTCCAGGCCTGGACAACTAACTTGGGAATGGTAGAAAGCAGGGAAAAGGTAAGAAATCCTCTGGATTTTCCCATCTATTACTAAGCAGAATTCCCTTTTGTATGAATATTTTCCATCAATTACTAAGTTATGTGGAGACTTTCCCATTAAATGAACCTGTCTCTGAAAGAATGATGGCAATCCTTACTGTAGTGGACACTTGTTTTTTTGAGCTACCTTGGATTCATTCATTTTACTTCCAATAGTATCCTCTTGGTTTTTATCTGTGGCTCTACCTCTCCCTACAGTTAAGATGAAGTCAACTTCCACCTGATTCTCGGGTGGAAATATTACGAGTTTGGCCAATCAGACCCTGCATGGCCACATGTATGTGTTCAGGTTGTTAGATGCAACACCATTAGATACTGAAATGCATAGAGTAGCTGGGACTTCTGGGAAAAGAAGACTTATTCTTTTTTCTTTTTTGGAGTCAGGGTCTTACTCTGTTGCCCAGGCTAGAGTGCAGAGGTGTCATCATAACTCACTGCAACCTCAAATTCCTGAGCTCAAGTGATCTTCCTGCCTCAGCCTATCAAATAGCTGGGACTACAGGCATGCACCACCATGGTTGGCTAATTTTTCTATTCTTTGTAGAGACAAGGTCTTGCTATGTTGCTCAGGCTGGTTATTCCTTTTTCTTGGATTTTAATGCAAGATGATATAAACTACATTTGGAACCACAGAAGATGTCTGAGAATAGCTCCAAAATGAAGGAGGTAGTGCCGATAGAAACTGGATTTTGATGACTTGTTTGACAATATTGCTCCTAGACTCCTCAGTTTTAGGAGTTACTAAATTCTCCTTTGGGCCTAAGCCTTTTTGGGTTAGGATTTCTCTCACTCATACCAAAGAAATCAAACTAATAACCTTCTCATTTATCAATGGCTCCAGAGAGAATATGTCAGTAAACCTAGTTCTCAGGTTTCTAGATCTCCAAGCAAAATATTTGCACACTGACATATAAATATAAACATCATGGAAGGAATGGACAACTCATCAGAAAATAAAATCAGGGATCAGAGGGGAGAGATTCCTATCATACGCACTATGGAGATTGAAAAGGATATGGGTGGCCTGCCACTATCTGACAAGGTTTTTATTTTTAGGTTGAATTGTACTTTTGCTTTAATCCATCAGCTGGCATTAAGAGATGTTATGATAAAAAAGTATTAATAAAACAAAACTCAACACTGTATTATTATAGAGATGTTGCTCAAGGACATAGTTTCTGGTATCACACATTATTTGCCTTATAAGGACTTAAGAAACACATTTACTTGAAGCCTCAGAATCAGATAAACTGTGCTTCTCAACAGCAACTGATTTGTTCTCATTGTAAATGTGTAACTGATCAGAGTTTTCTTTAGTTGTTGGTTCAGACCCATATTTGTGGTAGAACCCCTGACCCTAACATTCTCTTTTAACACAGTCCTTAACATTTTTTAAACACACAAATACATACACATTCCCCATTAGTATCTTAAAGAGTTTTTAGAATAAAGCTGAGTATAAACAAATTTATGAGGTAAATAGCCTGCCTCGTGTATTGGTAAAGCATCCCGTTTTCTGTGTAAAATTTACAGTTCAGTTTCCTCTGGTAACAATTAATTGGACAGGTTAAGCTGCTAACTAGCAAACGATTCTTAGCCTTTTCAGAGTTGTGCAACTCTGTAGTATTCTCAGTTTCTGAAGTTCAGAGAGTAAGATATAAACTTAAAGCCTAGATCTTTTTCTTGCTTTTAACCTTAGATTAATGTAAATTAATATATTAGGTTAAAAAAGGCTTTCTTATCCCTCCTCTTCTCCATACTGGGGTGGTGGTGGTGGTTGTGGTGGGAATCAAACATCTAAGTAGAGTCACTCTCAAAATTTGGTCCAGATACTTGATCTATAAACTTTAGAGATGTTAGAATAGTTGGCACTATAAGAACCATGCAATGAAATGAGTAAACTCTGTTAACCTCTCTTATACCTTGGATAAAAGTTTGCATTACAGACTAGATATAGAATGTATTCAAAGAACTTACATGGCTGTATTTTTGATAATTCTTCCTTGGTCCATTTTCTGCCCAATGCCATGCACAACAAATACAATATGGGTAGTCTGTGATGGCTTGTCTTCTAATGTGGCTTCTTCTACATAACCTCTATGAAGTCTGGTTCCACTACTCGATGCTGTAGAAAAATTATGATCTTAAGCTTACTACTTACTCTGAGAAATAGTATTTTCACAGTATGTTTAAAGAAAAAAAGAAGTAAAAGGAATATTAAGAAAAAATTTCACTGGGTAGGAGGAGGAAATAAAATTTGTAAGATGATATATATTGATCAGCTCTGATACAAAGTAAACTGGATATGACACCAAAGCAAGAAACTATAGGAAAAAGAAAAGGAAGGAAGGACTAACTGAATACCTAAAAATTTAAAACTTCTATATTAAATAGAAAACATTCTAACTTCTGACTTCTATATTAAATAAAAAAATACCAGGAAGCAAAGACAAAAGATGAATGACAAACTGGAAAAAAATTATGCAAAATATGACACATTATGAGTTAATTACCTAAGTATACAAAGAGATCTTACTAATCACAAAGTAAAAAGACAACCATTCAAATAGCAAAATGGGCGAGAGATATGACAAGGTAATTTATAAACTAAATACAACTAGCTAACAAACATATAAAAAGATATTCAAGCACATTCATTATCAAAGAAATTAAAATAAAAAATGGGACAGTAAAATTTTCTTAGACTTAAAATTTTTTTTTAATTTACTTTTTGATAATGCCCTCACATCATCCCCAGGTACCATTCCCTGTTGTTTTTTTTCCTTTTAGTTAAACTCCTTTAAAGAATTGTCTATTTTCACTGCCTCCATTTCCTTACCTTCTATTTCAGCTTAAGCCCACACCAATCTGGCTTCTGCTCCATCAATCTAAGTCACCAATGACCTCCATGTCACTAGATCCAATGAAAAATTTTCAGTCCTCATCTACCTTGACACTGTATTTCAATTGTCATGTGTTATTTTCACTGCCTCAGGTTTGAATGCTTTTGTGCTTTTGTAAGTATAAAATATATTTATTAATCTTACCGGATCACTCTAAATATATAATTATTCATTGATGAATACATGTCAATCCAACCACCTTAAAAGTTTCATTTCAATAAGGAACCCATCACTAAATTTAAAACATACTTAAAACATACCAAAAATAGAATTTGAATTGTCTATTTTGGATTTAAGAGAAGAAGTAAGATTCCCAAAATTTTGACAGTGTACAGTAAAACTGAACAATTACCTTTCGAAAATCCCAGTTTTTGGGTAACTGTTCTGGCAATTTTAGATGTTGTTGCATCACTATAAAGATATACTTCATCCACACTGTGCCAGTCCACGTGGTTTCGACTCAACTTGAAACTATGAATAGCTGTTGCAAAAAGGAAAAACTACTTTGAAGGTCTCCGAGGCAAACTTCATTTGTGTGAAAAATTATAATACTCATATTTTGGAATCAATATTATCTAATAACACAGGTAACCCAGTTCAATAAAAAATATATTAAAAAGTTTTATGTGAAGCAAGTAATAGGTAGAGACTTTATTTTATAAATGATTAACCAAGCTATAGGGAATGACAACTTATTAAAACGACATGGAGTAACTGGTTTAACCACCATACTTTTAACCTCTAATATGTAGTTAATATGCATTTTCATGACTGAAGAATTGCTTTCCCAGGTGATGTGACTGACTGTTCCTCCCAGTTGAAGAAAGGCCTCAACAGTTTTGACACAGAAACTTAAGTTCCAGTTCTTCTGTTGATTTTATTAATATTAAAAATATCAAAAGATCTGTAAAAATTTTTCTCAGCACAAGACAAAATTAGACTCAGAGGGAAAAAATTTACTTTTAAACTGGCAAGAGAATAATCTATTAGAATATAAGGTATTTTTGGAATGGATAGTAAAGCCAATTATCACTAGATACTACTCATAGCAAAAATCCAAAGTTGAAGGATATTTTATTATAATACTAAAAAATTAAGAAAATGCTTTCCTATTATGTTCAAATCAGTATGGTCATTGCATTTCCATATCTAGGGATATGCTTGGTGCAAATGAGGTCTTAAAAAAAAAACCCAAACCTATATCTTTAGGAATTCATAAGCTCTGTGAACCAGGGACTGCTGTCTTGATAATTTTTGTAACCTAGCACCAAATATAGTGTCCCGGTGCACTGCCTGGCACATATCACAAATTCAGTAATGTTTGTGGAAGGAAGAATTGAAAAAATTTACATAACATATTCACCATTTCATAACTTGATAATTCTTATATTCTGAAGGCCTTAAATTTTCCTCTATATCTCCAGTATATAAATAGGAAAAATTCACATACCCATCCTCAGAAAACCAGGCACCTTCAAATCACTATGCCTGATTTTTTTCTTAAAATCCTTTTAAGGCAAAATATTATCCCCTATTTTATGCATAAAGACACAGAGGTACAAAGAGATTAAGTGACTTTGCCACAAAGCCTGTTTTTGGCAGAGTCTAACTCTTTTGAGGATGGGTTGAAAATAACTTCATATAAAAAGATATATGCCCTGGTCAAGATCTAAGATCATAAGACATTTTTATGAAAATGTATTCCCTACTAGAATACAAAGTACATTATGAGAAAATGTACTTCTTGTGTTACAAATGTAATTTCAAAAACGTATGAAAAACCAATTTAGATTTTACTTACCTGCCAGGACACACTACTAACATTATACACAAGACCAAGATTCAATTAATATAATAAATACGAATAATATCTTCGGTTCCAAAGAAAATAATGTACAAGGCTAGCTTTTTAAATAAAAGAACTTTTCATAAATTAAAAAAAATCTTTTGCAAAGCATTAACAATGATTTACTTTTCTATTAACAATTTCATATCTGATCCAAGTTGCTACTTCAAGCCTTTTAATCTAACGTTTCTAAATCACATTTTTGTTAAAATAGTTTGGAGCAACATTTGCTTAAAACATTGAAACTACAAGACTGAGATATTTAGAGAATAGCATTAAGCCAGCAAAATTTTGTTTCTCCTTAAATCATCCACATATTGTCTTAAAGTAAAATAGTGGTGAATATCCCAGTAGTACTGGAGCATACACATACTTTACAAACGTTTATACACATTTATAATAAAGGAACACTAAGCAAAACAGCACAACAGATACAGTTTTTATAAAACTAATGATTTCTATGCTTTAAACACAACTGAGTGCTATAAGCCAGAAATATAACTACACGGAGAAATAAAACTATAATTACTGTACCTTGGGAACGCTTTCGTTTAAGACCTGCCGCATCTGTACTCTCCTTATTTCCTCTCCATTTGAACAGAGAAGGGAGGGAGAAGGGAGGGAGGTGGTAGACAACTAAGAAAGCAAAAACACTGAGCTTCAAAGTAAATTTTAAATGAGGTTTGCCATTTTGCCTTTTTGTTGTTGTATTAACTTTAAAAAATGAGTTGTATTTGACAAACATTATTCTAAATGCTTTATTTATATAATTTCTAATTAAAAGTCAGTAAAACAAAACATTAGTTTAATGTTTATCAAATACATGCTCTACTTTTACTGAATGAAAAAAGGCAAATGTTATCTAAATTTATTAAAGACTATATGATTATCACATTTAACGCCTTTGCATAGATAGAATAAAAAAATAGAACACAGCATATTTGAATGCTTAAGAGATTTATAAATTTCATCTTTACAATAGTAAGGTTATTTACTCTCACCAAATTTGTGACACTGACATAGCCAACAGCTGATATACGAATTGAGAAAGCAATAAATGACATTTTAAATATCTAAGGCAGCTTTCCTGAGAAGATACCAAGGTATACATTCCACTAGATACTTTTCATTACTGAAGTATAATGGAGCCTTCCCTCTGAAACGAAATAATCTTTTCACAACTCTTTTCAAGTTGTTAAAAGACTTTAAGGAATAAAAATTTTAAGAACAAAAAAATTAAAAAATTTTAAAAAGAATAAAACTTATACTGAAAAAATCAAATTCAAAGTTCTACTTTTAATTGTCTTTTGGGAAAGATTTATTAGTGATGAAATAATAATGAAAAAAATCATTAGTAAGAATGTATGCTGTGATATCTTGTAAGCATGAAACAGATTATAGAGCAAAGCCAGGCACAGACTTGATATTTGGCAAATCAGTAGATAACCTTAAAGTCAACATTTTCCCTGTCAAATCTTGCTAGTTATATATCAATAAATTTCTTTTCATTTTAAGTAAGCAATTATTTAAAAGTCCACTTGAACCTTACGAATTAGTTTCTTATCAGTTCCGTTAATAAATTACAGAACCTTTATGATTTAGTTCAAATTAATGTTGTAAAACATTTGATTTTCATCCTCACTCCCTTCTATATTAATGTGACACTCAAAGGTTAAATACTGCTCAAATATAAAAATATTTAATTCCTGTTGCACAGTACTAAAAATATAACAAATCTATTGTATATACAGATGAAGTATATGCAAAGATTTGTACAATAAAAATAAGCTGAGAAGTGCTTACAAGGCACTTAATACCTATACCTAGATGGTAACTAAGTGGCTATAAAAACTATAGACTAGGACTACAAGCTGGGTTGTTACATCCAGATTATAAAAACATTTCATTGTCACAGAGAGATGGAAAATGACAATTGAAGTAATTTTCTTCACTGAAAATGTTTCTTCTTTCATGTGCCTCTGGTCAGTTACTGAGGAGTAGATATACCACTTAAGGGAAGAGTTTTAAACAAAAAATTCATTAGGAAAAAACTGCTAACATATCAGAGTGTATCAAACTGATATAAACTGAAATACTTTGCTATTAAAGAAGAAAAACTAGATTTTGTAAATCTAGTAGTAAAATTAACATGAACCAATTCTGTATTTGCTAAGTGGGAAATGTATGGACCATATGACCACATTTAAAATTATACACTTTCAGAAGCTAGTCAAGATATAAAAATGAAGGCTTTCTTTTCTAAAAGAATGGTATAATTTAAGGATTAAAAAAAACACCCCAATATACACATAAACAACAAAAAACATTTTCTCATCCCCAAAACAGAGAAACATATTCACATTCAGAAGCTAGTCAAGATATAAAAATGAAGGCTTTCTTTTCTAAAAGAATGGTATAATTTAAGGATTAAAAAAACACCCCAATATACACATAAACAACAAAAAACATTTTCTCATCCCCAAAACAGAGAAACATATTCACATTTTCACAAAAATTAAATAGACATAAATGGTTCTTTACTTTCTTCTCAAACTTAATTTCAGTTTTCACTTGAGAGTCATTTTATTTGTTACACATCCTATAGCACAGTTAGAGAGCTTAAGTTTTTTCAACCCAAAGCATAGAATTAGGGTTACTACCATAAATATAGTAGAGGAAAAAAGAATTTACTATCAATTCAAACAGAGATTGCTGTTAAAGGAAATTCATGTGCCAGAAAGCACTACTTAACTTTTTCTTTTTTAAAAAATAAAGTTTTAGTTAGAAATTCTTATGTAGTATTAGCAAAAGTATGCATAAACTCAACATACAACTGCAAATGCTAATTTATTAAATTCTAATGTTATTAATAAAAATGTTCTTTTATATATTAAAGTCTAATACAGCAATGAAAAAGATTTAAAATACTAACAATATTTTCAATAAATTTCATTTTGGAATAATTTTAGACTTAACAGAAAGTAGCAAAAATAGTACATGGAGTATACTATTGGTACAAGTGTCAAAGAGCAGCAAGGGTAGTGTTGATATTATGAACACAAGACTGCCCAGGCCCTCAAACTCCCTGTGATTTTGTTCGTAATTCCAAAGAAAGGGGCCCTGTGGGCAGCAACAAGATAGACGGGGCTGGGAAAGGGGAAGACGGATTGGGCTGAGCTTCCCCTAATGTTAGCATCTTGCATAACTATAATTATCAAAACTAAGAAATCAATGTTGGTATAATACTATCAACTAATATATAGACTTTATTCAGATTTCTCTAGTTTTTCCACTAATGTTTTTTTCTGCTCTGGGGTCTAATTCAGGATACCATATTGCATTTTGTTGTCATGTTTTCTTAGTTCCCATTGATTTTTGGCAAATTCCTCAATCTTTCCTTGTCTTTCATGACCTTGACGTTTTGAAGAATATTGGTAGTTATTTTGTAGAAGGCCCTTAATGTCCGTTTGTTTTTTCACAATTGAATTGAGATTGTACATTTTTGACCAGAGTGATGTGCAGCACTAACCCATTCAGTTCAACCTTTTTTACTGATTATTGCATGTGCTTGGATAAATTGTAAAATGAGTGAAATAGCGATCTAGTACTAGATTTAAGTATTTACCAAATTACTTATTTGAAGGCCTGATTTTATTTGTATCATTCATCCCAAGTTAAACAATAGGCTTTCATTTGTTAAACTGCTGATAAACACTTACTGGCCTAGTGGGTGAGGTGAATAGAGAATCAATTTTCATTTTAACTCTAGAGAGAACTAAATTTAGATTAAAGTATATAAATCACAAGAAATAATTATCTTTTGGTGGGTTACTTTTATTTGCATGCTAAAAAGAGTTGTACAGTGTACTAAACTTCCATCAGTCTCTTTAACTCAATGTTCATTTTGAGATTACTAGTAAAATTAGTAAGGAGAAAAATATTGAATACATTCGACACTCCTTGTCTGTGGATTCAACCAACCACGAATCAAAAATACTCAGGAAAAAAACAAAAAACAAAAAATAATACAAATAAAAAAATATAGCATATAACTATTTACATAGTATTTGTATCATATTAGGTATTACAAGTAATCTAGAGATGATTTAAAGTATACGGGAAGATGTACACAAGTTATAAGCAAATATTACACCACATATATAAGTAACTTGAGCATCCTCAGATTCTGGTATTCATGGGGAATCCTGGAACCAATAATTCCACATGGATACCAAGGGATGACTATACATCCAATCTATTTGTGTCAACAGCTATCCTAACCAAAACAAGGTTAGAAGAAAAAAGGAATTATTATTCATTTTAATGTCTCTGAAGGCAAGAACTCTTTAATTTCTTTGAAATCCCCTAGAGAACTTAATAAGTCTCTGAATATAGTATTTTACAATGTTTTTAATCACTAAATGGGATTTTTCTGGAAAGCCATATTTGAATAACTCTACTGTACTGTGATCACCTACTTTCTCCAAATATCCAAAAGATATTCCAAATATCTTTTCAGAATGTGTAATATTCACTGTTTACTATGTTACCCTGTACTTATTCTTTTTGTAGTATACTTATTTTAACTGTTCTCATCTGTTGGCATCGGCTGAAAACTCTTTGAGGGTAGAAACTTTGTCTATTTCTTTCACAAAAGTGACTAGCACAATATTATATCCCACATGGAAGCATTCAAAATCTCCTGACAATATAAACAGTCAAGGCTTTATCATCCATACATGAGAAAATTTAGGTGAAAAAGGTACTTTCCCCCTTCAAACTAAAGAAATAAAAAATTTCACAAACTTAGAGGTAAGAGCAAAATAATCAAAATATTACAATATTTTTAAATCTTTGAGGATATAAGTTTGAGGTTATTTTCCCAACAATGGTAGCTTTTTGGACATAAATGTTCTTTCCTTAAAACTAGTTATAATTTTCAAATGTACTACAAAATTTCCCATAATCTTCAAGGTCAAATGTCACATCTTGCCATATAAATGTATTTTGATATAATACTAAATAACAAATAAAATGAATGCAAATTGTGACAACGGTATACATACTCAATCAAACTTATCTTTGTCAATAACAAAACATGCTGAATATTTACCTATGCCACAGTACATTATAAAAAATCAATTTTTTCTTCTAATGAACCTCAAAGAATCATTTTTGGCAGATTACAGTGCAAAAGTATTTTAACAGTTGAACAATTTTCCATTATTACAAATTAAAATTTTACCAGTGTATATCCTTAAAGATAATAAAATATATCACCATAATAACCTAGTTTGATACTCTAGAATTGACACACACACACATACTCAAAGACATTCTAAAAAAATCTATCACACAAACCATGTTCTTACATCTGTCTTAGTTAAATTTGGGCACAGAGGTTGGGACAAGGGAGGGGAACAAATGCTTTGTCTAGGGGGTTTTCACTGAGAAATAGATGGCACTAAGAGACGCTCTATCTGCTATAGGAGGAACAAACTGACCAGAAGGGGGGCTTCCAAGAAAGAACAGATGACATGTCAAAGGGGCTTCCAAGGACTGAACAGATAGATGTTTGCTCTATGATAGGTCTCCAAGGACTGATCAACCAAAAAGAGGTAGAAAGGCCACAAAGTAGAGATATGACCAAGGCCACAAAAGAGGTTCTTTGGAACTGTGTACAAATAGGGTGACAGTATCCTCAAGTGACCTACCCTCATTAACATAGTAAAAATCACATCCAACTACACCATGACAGTTTACAAATACCACGGTAACCCCCAGAAATTGCCTTATAAGGTTAAAAATGGGGAGGGTTCCCAGTTCCAGGAATTCTCCACTCCTTTCCAAGAAAAGTCATGAATAGTTCACCTCCCACTTAACATTAGGGAATCAGCATAAAAGGGGAAATCTTGTTAAACTCAGGGTCTCTTCCACTCACAGGGGTTGACCCATTCCCTCTCCTAAATGTACTATGCTTTAAGAAACTTTGGCACTTTGCTTGCTTCCATCTGCTTGGTCTGTTCATTTGCTCCGTTGACTTGGTACCAGTAACCATTCTTTAGTATTGGGAACCAAGAACCAGGGAACATGGACCTGACATCTGGTCCCCACACCTGACAAGCACTTTGAGGAAAACTGAAATATCCTGATTCTGTGGCAATCTGTAGGAATGTAGCTGCAGCTCTTATACTGAACTACTCTTCATACATTGATATATAAGAACCTTTAGCTTGAACTTTTCAGTGAAATAAGGACATGCTTGACTCTACATGAGATAGTATTTTTAAAACTCCTAGAGTATGGTATTTGGCACATAACAGACAATTATTATTATATAAATTTCTTAGATTTAACTGCCAATTTATTCAGAAGTCCCAAGTCTCCTCAGTGATGTAGACTTTTACAAACTAGATATAAAAGATATTTTAATTTGATGTAAGCTAACCTATATGGTTTCCTTGCTTGTGATAAATGGGTACATATGTATGTTCAGAGAGAGATTAAGAGAGCAAAAAGTAGAAGAGAGAAAAAATGTGGGATGTTACTGAGAAGACAAAATCCCCAATTTAAAGCTTATTGTTTTGCCATTAATGATGTTATAGTAATTACTTCCAAACACATAATTCATTTTTTTTTCAAGCTGCATTCTGTGAATTACCTGCTCAATACTGAGTTTTTCTGCTTTAGAGCTGTTTTATGAGGGAGAGGGGGGAAAATCACTTAATTCTTATTTTAATTCCCTGGATTCAGTAGGGCTTGCCAAGAAACCTCCCAAATAAAGGCAAGCATGGATGAAGAAACGCTTTTATTAATAGAAAAAAACTGTAGAGAAATCTACAAATTCTAATCTGCCTGTACATTTATACTCACCAGAATAGTTGATCCCACTGCCTGCAGTAAATGGAACAATAGAAGTATTTTTAACTTCACCACATTATTTTCAAGTTTACTCAAGATTCAGACACATAGTGAAAGCATGGTAATCTTGGCTATTATATAATATTTTTAACTATTGCAAACATATCCAAATACTGAATAAGGAAATCTAAGGAGATTATTTCAAATTAAAAATCGATATGGTTATCAATAGGGAGACAGCTAAGAGATATACATAGGTAATTAAAGTTTTTTGTTTTTTGACTTCAGGAAAAGAATGAACATTAAAATATTACAAAAAAGTCCTTTTGATATAATGACAAGGAACTTTTTGGTAAGTTCAACTTTCTTTGATAACTAAAAAACTACCAAAAGGACTAGTTCAGGGAACACATTACAACAATGTGTACATTTATAGTAAATTGTGTTAGTGTCATGCCATTGAACATACATGTTAAGTAAAATAAAAATTGAGATAGTTCAGAAATTCATAGCAGTTTTTAATTCTAGAATAATGTTTTTTAAAAAACAAATTTTATAAATTCTAACCCTCCTGAATTACTATGTCAAACTTATGAACTACTCTAAATTTTATCAATAATTTATTTGGTTTATAGAATATATTAAATATATTGATTGGTCTTACCATCTTTTCCATCTATGGATTTTGACACTTCAATATCAAAACTTTCCTGCATCTGCTGACCCCTAAAACAACTGAGATGTTCTTGCTCAATTAAATTACTTTCTTCTTCTTCTAGAGGCTGCCAAGTACCATCAATAAACCATTGTCCACGCATTACTGGTATTTTATCAGCCTCTGAAAAGAGAAATCACAGAGTCACACATTTTAGGATTCAACCTCCTAAAAAGAGACATAGTACCTACAATCTTGTATTAGGTTAATAAGTATGAAATGTCCAATTTCCTTAAGTACTAAATTTGACAGTTGATATCTCTGACATTTCTCTTTGACACTTTTTGTTTTATTTTTATTGTGAAGGTACATCCTCAGTCTTTCAAACACGTTTTGGCTTGTGATTACCTTTCACATTTTCTTTAAAGCAATTTTTGTGAAACCATGGATAAGTCAAAAATTCATGTTATTTTAAAATATGAGTTCCTTCGTGGAACCAGTGCAGCACAGACAGCTCAAAGTATCAATGAAGTGTTTGGGAAGGACGTGGCTAATGAACTCATGGTACGTCGATGGTTTGAGAAGTTCTGTTATAGTGATTTTAATTTTGAAAATGAGCCACATGGGCAACCTGAAACCAAGGTGGATAATGATGAGCTGAAAGCTGTAGTGGAAGCGAATCCATCTCAACCTATGTGTCAATTAGCAGTAGGTCTGACGTTACTACTCCAACAATATTGGACCATTTCAAACAAATTGGTGAGGTAAACAAGCTGGATAGATGGGTTCCACGTGAATTAAACAACTGTCAGAAGAGAAATCGTCTCAAAGCTTGTCTTTCTTTGCTGTCATGACATAAAGGCAAACCATTTCGACACCATATTGATATGTGATGAAAAATGGATTATTTTTGACAATCAAGCATTCGGCACAATGGCTGGATAAAGATGAAATGCCAAAACACAGTCCAAAACCAAATATTCATCCAAAAATGCTAATGGTGTCTCTTTGGTGGTCCAGCGCTGGTATTATCCACTACAGCTTCGTGAAACCTGTTCTATCGATTACAGTGGATGTCTACTGCAACCAATTGGATGAAATGAGGATGCTTACGATTAAGCAGCTGAGATTGGTCAATAGAGACAGGCAAATACTCTTGTAAGACAGCACTTGACCACACAGCGCACAATCAATGTTGCTCAAACTACAGAAGCTGGACTTGGAAATTCTCTGTTATCCACCACTCTGTTATTCACCAGAAGTGACTACCACTTCTTCCAGGCTTTGGACCACTTCTTGCCAGGAAAAATATTCAATTCTCAACAGGCTGTGGAAAATGCCTTTCGTGATTTCATCACCACTGGCTTTCCAGGCTTCTTCGCTGCTGGCATAAACAAGCTACCATTATGATGGCAAAACTGTGTCGATAGTTTAGGCACATACTTTGATTAATTGCACTGCTTCTTTGAGATATAATAAACTATACTTTTGATTTGAAATCAGACATTTCACATTTAATGACCTAATATTTAGCTATTGCAAAAACAGATTTTCATGACCTAATACAATCATTTAAAATTTTAAAATCCAAATTTCAAGCCAGAGTATATCATTTTCTATAGCATACAATTTTACTTATATCAAATATTATACCTAAATTTACTTTAGCATTAGAAAGGTAGATAAGTAGTTATCTATAAAATTGAGATCCTGAGTAACCAAAATTAGTAGGCTAAGGGGTTAAGACAAGTTTCATGCAAGGTTCTGGTGATTTCCAATGTCTTAGAAAATACTGATACAATATCCCAAAAATAGTGTTTAAAAACACTGAGTGTGGTACTAGTGTGTTATACTTTTTATGGCTGCCTTGGAGGTTATGGGCTATTAGTTAGTATACAGGAATAAATGAAACTATTAATTATGGTAATATT